GTGGCCAAGTCAAGATTAGTTGTATTATATATTGTTTGTATAGTTTTGCACACCACAAACATTTTTGTGGTGTTCACAAATTGAAACATACACTGTATTTATAATGCATGTAAACCAAAAATTGCGTTTTTATTTGTTGTTTGACAATCATAAAAATATATCTTAGTTTAGCCTTTGACATACATCTGTCATTTATTTAAGAGCATGTATAGAATCTTTATTTGTTTTTAAAGGCCACCGGTCCATTTCACAATATACATGGAAAAATAAATACATAACTAATTCCTTCCCGAGGTCAAAAGTTACCTCATGTTAATACATTCTTGTCTCAGAATTTGTGCTTTATGTACAAACATTGCTAGTTTGAAGATTACCGGTATTTGGTCAGATTTGTTTGACATAATAGAATAAAATTTTTCTAATGTTGGATAAGTATATGACCATGAGGGTAATAATTTTTGACTCCCATGTGCGAAGCACAAAATGGGAGTCTTTGCAGTTAGTGTGTCTGTATGTGTGTATGTGTGTCCGACTGTTCCACTGCTATCTCAAGAACCATACATCGGTTTTTGATGAAACTTGGTGCATATATGCTCTGGGCCAATGCGCAGATTTGATTAGGTTTTGGTAAAAATCCATGCTCGTTAATTACCTAATTTGCATGATAATTAGCTAATTTTTAGCTGTTCTATGACTGTTCCACTGATATCTAAAGAACCACTCATTGGATTTTGATGAAACTTGGTACATAGATGCTCTGAACATATGCGCAGATTTGATTAATTTTTGGTAAAAATCCGTGCATATTAAGTACCTAATTTGCATGATAATTAGCTATTTTTTAGTGGTTCCATGACTGTTCCACTGATATCTAAACAACCACTCATTGGATTTTGATGAAACTTGGTACATAGATGCTCTGAAGTTTTTGGTAATAATCCGTGGATACTAATTACCTAATTTGCATAATGATTAGTCAATTTTCGGTTTTTCCACTGATATCTCAAGTACATATCTCAAGTACTAATCATCACATTTCAATGAAACTGGTACATAGATGTCATACGACACTGCACAGACCTG